CAACTCACATAGTTGTTCAGACGACCGGACCATCTGCGTCACGGCTACAAGCGGCGTAAGTAAAGTTTTTGCAACCATTAAGCTTTGTCTGCCTCTCCATTCACCAGCCCGCCCAGCGAACGAGTAATTTCTAAATCACCTCGAGTCAGCTCCAGCCATCCGAGACACATGTAAGGGGAAATTTGTAGCTTAGAATTGTAATATTTGATTTGTTTCTAGTGTAAAGACAGGACTAATAAGGAATCTTGATGAAGTTTCTCATTTTATAATTCGTAGTAGTTTCTGTCAACTGGCATCTTTAATTCTTTTTATTCTCTAGGTTCAAAGACCGCTAGATAAATTATTCTATTCAGTTGTCACAGTAGCTGAGCAAAAATACAGATCAACTTTATGGTAAGTCACCTATGATATATTTTGCAACTAGACTTTAGTAAAATTATAAAATTTGTAAATTTAGTAAAATTGTTTCTATGGCATACTCTTGTACATTTAATATGCAAGAGTGATATGCAAGAATGTGGCATGTGCTTGCGCACTTAGACCTGGCAAAGAAAGAATACTAAGCTTTACTCTTAGAGCTGCCTCTGAGAGGGGGAAAACCTTTGAAATTTTTCAGAACAATAGGATGAGAGACCTGTGCCAAAGAGAAGTAAGTCCCACAGTTGAGAGCTCTTCAGAGTCAGAGGCATCTTCTCCAGTGGAGGAATCTTAGGAGGTGAATATTATATTAGCATAGATGTATATCACAATTGTCCACAAGGTGGTCTGTGGCAGAGACTTGTAATGCTGAGTATTTTAAATTGTGCAGCTGGAAAAAACCTATATTCTTAGGGCTAAGAGCTTTTCATGGAGAGAGCTTTCTCAGTGATACCATGCTTCTTAATCCTACTTGCTACCATCATAAAATCCCCTCAATACACAGAGTATATGAGGGAAGAAAGACCATCCTTCAAACAATGACTTCTGCCTAGCAGCAAAACTTCCCTTTTTTGGGGCTGAGGACAAGAATATCATCCAGTTGGCAACAACATCCATCACACATTTGCCCTAGAGCACTTAATGGTCTATAGAACAAAAGAGCTGTGCCCTAGCAGCATTCTTATAATCTCTATCTAGTATTTAGTGATATATAGTGCTCTGTACATCAGATTTGATTACTTTGTAATTGCATTCATTTTATTAAACAGATTTGCTAAAATGTTGGTTTGTTACAGTATATGAGAGAAAATAAATTGTAGATATACTGTAATTAAATCAATTGATTCTAAAATACCTTTACATTTGCATTGTTAGTCCTCTGTTTCACTACATTTGCTGTACATGGTGTGAGATCTACGCACACTTTTCTGTGTAATTACTAGAGATCTTCTGCACACTCATTTCTTCTCATTTGGAAGCCAGGAGGAGCTCTCTCATTGGGAACTAGATTTTTCAAAACTCAGGGGGTGCTAGATTCAACTGTAAATCTGGAACTGATATAAGAGTATTTACAAATTCGTAATCTCTTAGAGTTATTCTGCTCTCTCTGAATATTATGAATACCTGCAATAATCTAGTGAAATAAAGAAAACAGAGTATAAAAGCACCAATGTAGCAACCTTAAAAAATGTTCCCTCTCCCGAGACTATTTAAAACAAACAAATAATAAATGTGTGTGAGGTTTGAACCTAATACCCAGATTAATTTATTGGACAGTGAGACTGAATCTGAAACTCCAGTGTTATAAAATTCTTAACAAATAAAGCAGTTTTCATCCATGTAACATATGATGCACCTTGATGAGTAAGCATTATGCTCATTCTATAAATACATTCAAGGCAAAGACCAGCTAACTTGCTTTTTGGAAATGATGCAGTGAATCAGTATCTGCATCAACATTGCTGTATGATTCCATAGTAATATTCCGTATAATTTTATATAAATTCTAGAAATCCCTAGAGTTTGTCTCAGACATTTCTGTCTAGGATTGCACCTGGTAAATTGTAAATCTAAGTTCAACCATTAGACATATTAAAAAGGGATAGATATAGGCAACAGACACCAGATTATTTTGTTATTGTTCTTACAGCACTCTGATTGTCAGTCGGCATGAGAGACATTCCATGCTCAACTGAAGAAAAGATTTGAGAAGTGAGCCTTTTAACTTGTGAAGTTTCAAGATGTATATAACACCCAATTCCAGAAGCTCATTGTGGGTTTTCGGTCCAGATTGAGTTCTGTCTACTTTTTATGTTGACTTCATTGTACTTGTATTCATTCAGGGGATGAATTTAGACCTGGGTATCTTTCCATAAAGGGATCCTTTAAAACTGTCTGGGCTTTAGTTCAGATTTATAATGTTAGTGTTAGTTTAGCTGAGGACTACAACATTTGTCCCAAAATCCCATTGGCTTCATACCTTCTGAGAGAGATTGTTTTGACTGACAGATTTGGTCCAATATTCTTAGAAAACATTTTCCTGTTTACAATGGCACGTGAATCCTGCTAGCTGAGCAAACCCAAGTACACCTTTGAAACTGAACTTTTTTGTTCTGTACCTGTCAGACTGCCAGAAAGATCCCACTCTGTTGTTTCACTGTGTTGCATCAGACTCAAGAAATTCTTTCAGGCAGGCAGTGTTATGCTTGGCAGTATTCGGGTTTCAGTTCTACTTTTACCTGTGCTCTGTTCTGCTCTTCAGGGACAAGTCAAAGAAGTTGGCAGAACAGGCTGCAGCTATTGTCTGCCTAAGGACACTGGGTCTCCCAGAGGGGAAATTGGGTGAGGGAGAAAACCACCTGATTAAAAAACGCAAGAGGGAAGACCACAATCTCATGAACAACAGAGAACATGGAGATGAACTTATTGAGAATGCATGTAAGAAAGTTCATTTAATTGAAGGAACTTCAGACTCCAGCGCTTCTGAAATGGCACAATGAAAGCAGCATGAACAACAGACATTCCACAACTATGCAGCTCCTGATTCATTCTTTTTTTGCACAGCCTGCTGTTATATTCTATCTGCACTCTGTCAGAGACAGATAAGCTGCCCAATTGTGAAAACCTACTGTATAGGGACATGTTTACTTTTTTTTTCTTTGCTTCTCTTGGTGCCTTTCAAATGCAATAAATTAGCAGCCTGGATTTTAAAACAAAAGGACAAGGAGACTGTCCCATGATGAGCTTCTTTCTACAGTAAATATTTTTTATTTAGTTGGAGTGGTTTTGTTTAAAATATCTTATGTAGACTCATGATAAACTAACAAGATGGTTCAGACTGCATTACCCACGATCTACAGATAGAGTCAATTATAGAAGTAGGGTGGTGCAGTAACAGACGTTAACTGAATAGATTTGCTTTTAATAAATTAAATTAAATTACATTGGTACTCCCATTGAACTTCATATGTGGTTTGCAGTCTTGTATTATTATCATAAATTAACTGAGCCCCTCCCCCCCTTTTTTTGAAGGGAGAATGTTGTAAAATACAATACCAAACTTGAAAATATAATTGCATTATTTTATCAGGTTTTACTTTTTTTCCCCTGAAAATGACAAGTGAAACAAATTACCATCTTTCCTTGAACTTCAACATAGGATTTTTTTTCACTCTGGCTGTTAAAGTGTGCCTTTTGTCCCTAAATAGTGACCTAGTTGCTTCTGCATTTAGCAGATAGTGTTCATGGCCCTAATCAGCAAGAATCTCCTCTTCATCTGGCAGTGTAATGTCCCAGTTACATTCTGTCCATGAAGGGATGATACACATCCAGAGTGGCTTCCATTGCACAACCTGGAATTGTGCTTGTTTGGCTTACGCTCCAAGGCGAGATTCTTAGTACACTAAAATAAAATGCAGGATTTGAGACTGGTTACACTTTGTTGGAGTTTGGGCATATTTCTCTAACATGGAAGGATACCTTACAAGTGGTCAGCTCTTGCCGGAAAATATCTGTAACAAACCTGCTGCAGTGTATCCATAACCCCTACATTCTTTTGTATGAAGAACATGCAAAGCAACTTTTGCCATTTATGTAGTACATCTAGATAGCCCTTCTATTTAAAAATAAAATAGTTAATTTTAAATGAAGTGGCATCTGCACTAAACCATTGTTTTTTAATAGAATAGAAATATTCTACTTGGATAATGTTCAGACTTTTTTAATTAAAAATATATGTGTGTATGCATATTTATGGCTGCTATTTAAATTGCTAAATATTTTTAATAAACCCACATAGTTTGCATTTAACGGAAAACAATTATAATTTGTTTCCCGCTTATTTTTCAGACTGCAGTAAAAACAAGTTTAAAACCTCCTTTCAGAATTGTACGCTCCAATTGCATATAATAGTTTTAGTCACAGATCAAAATTACTTCCTTCCAAGCAGCAATAAAATGTACAACCTCCAGGAATAACCATTCTTCTATTGAGATTACTTTCTTAGCTGAAGTTTCCATCAAGACTGTTTCAAGACAATCATCAATTTCTCTAGGTGCTCCTGATAGAGTGCAGGTTTCAGCACCCAAGCAATACAAACTGTCTGTAATCTGTCTCTGATGGCAAGGTCCAAATTTAACTGTAGTCGCAGTTAAGAGGAATGGTATAACTAATACACCTTGGAAATGAATTGGCTTAATGCATCCTCTGAGCATTTGCCACCTTCACTGAGGGCAGGTCTACACGTGAAAGTAATAGGACACAATAAACTCCAGCGTATATTGAGCAGGAGTTTATTGCTCCCAGGCACCATGTTTACACGTGCACCTGGAACCGCAGCATGTTGAGCCAGGTCAGAGCAGCCCCGTCTGTCAGGGGGCCCAGGGAGTGAGCCTGGGGCTACTCTGAGCCAGCTCAACATGCTGCAGAGGGGCTGGCTGGGGCACAAGGGTGCTCCAGTGTGGGGCTAGCCAGCAGGCAGCCCCTACACTGAAGCACCTTTGTGCCCCAGCCAGCCCCGTCAGCATCTACATGTGTGTTGCTGTGCACTATATAACACTGTCACGGAACAGTGCTTCTGTTTACAAGTGCTAACCTACGGTGGAATTAATTAGTTTCCTGCAGCCTAATAGGGCCGCATGCGTAGACACTGAGACTTTACCGCAAAGCCAATTAGGCAGCTCCACAGTAAACATCTCTTGTAAATGCTCCCAGATTCTCTGCGTTACTCAGCAGTTTTCTGGCAAAATACTCATGGTGCATGCTTCCCCAGGAGAGGTTGGCTCATGCAAATTATACTGTAAGAGAGTGGGTAAATTATCTCTGAAGTCCAACTAAAGATCCAGTTACCCAGTTATTCTAGTTAAAAATTAAAGGTCACACAGAATTATGCCATATCTCTAGATGACAACAAGGCCTGGCTATAGAGACCAGCTTTCAATCAACCAGACTTCACTTCAACCTTTTCACAGCCAATTGGCATTCAACACCATTTGATATTCATTAGGGATGTGCAAAGCAGGCCCCATTTGTATACGGATTGGGCCCGAATCAGGGACAGTGATTCAATTCATTTATTTGGATTACTGTCCCTGATTTGATTTGGCTGAATCTGAATCTGAAGAGTCGATGCCAATTGGAGAATCAGCGATTTGGCCATAGGTGCAGTGCGCCCACCTGGCCTCGTATAGGCACTCCCTAGTGGCCTCAGAGCGCACACCCGGTGCTATCCTTGAGGCTTGAGCGAGGGGTCATGTTCACCCCTGAGGGAGGCCCCGACACTCGCCTGCCACAACTTGGTCTTCTTTTCTTCAGTCCTGGGGTTCCTCACAGGCCGGGTGCTGCCCTTGGCGGGTGTTCTTGGGGTTTCACCTCCCCTACATCCCAGTCATGCACCAGCCTTTGGGACGGCCAGATGATGAGTTGCCAGCCAATCCCTCAATGTTGTCACCTGCCCTCTTCTCTCCCTGTTCGTCTTCGCCGTCCCTCTGCCCTGTGTGACTCAAGGCTGTCCTTGTCACCTATGGGTCTCAGGACCGTCCTTGTCACTGCATTCCCTCTCTGCCTGAGGCATAGCAGTCCCCGGTGCTGCCTCTGTTTTCCCCTCTTGACCCAGAGGGTCACTTGGAAGCTCACTTCCCGGCTTGGGCTCTGCACAACCTCCAACACAACAACGCCACACAAAAGAAATGAGAAAAAAAAAATAAATAATCAGGGCATGGGGTCTCAGGCTGCCCCACTCACAGATCCAGTGTCTGGGGTCATCCAGGTCACTCAACGCTGTCCCTCTTGACTTGGCTCCCCTGTAGTCCTCTTAAAGATGCCAGGACCCTTTCAGTGGGTCTCTGTCTGGCCCCCTGCTGGGCTGCTGGTATATCCCAGGTACAGCCTGGGGATCCCAAGTGCAGCCTTGCCATCTGGCTGTGTTGCTGCCCCCAGCTCCATCTCCCTGCCGCCAGCTTTCAAATCAGCTGGGCAGCGATTCTTGCTTGCATTATTGGCTGGCACTGTTCCCAGCCAGAAATAAAAGCAGCTGACGAACCACGTGGGCAGTTCATCTCGGTGTAGCTCCGTTATTCCTGAAAATGGTAAGCGTGCCCCTTTTTCAGGGCTTTTCCTTTCCTTCTTCGGGCAGGTCAGCCCTGCCTTGGGTCCCACTGCAGGCAGGTGCTCCAGGGTCTCCGCTTGTGTCCCCTGGGGGCACACAGCTTTAAATGTTTTTTCTACATACCTCGAGGTACCAGCGTGGCTTGTGAAACCTGCAATGCTGGGGCGCATGGAGCATCCCACAGTAGTGTGGGGGGGCCTCCCACGTGCTCAATGGCGAGCCCGGTAGTGGACCAGAAGTACTTCCGGCCCACTTCTGGGTCCACCGGGGAGTGTGTGGGGGGCCCTCCTGTGCCCCACTGGCTCGGCAATCAGCTGCAGCGGACCCTGGGTGCCCCCCCCAGACCCAGGAGTCTCTGAGCCAGGGGGAACATGGAGGGGGCCCCCTGCACGCTGTCCAGCGGACCCAGAAGTGGACCGGAAGTGCTTCTGGTCCACTTCTGGGTCTGCTGCTGAGTGCACTGGGGAGCCTCCCACGCTCCTGTGGGACACTTCATGCACCCCAGCATCACAGCATTCATGAACCGCCTGTTACCTAGAGATATGTAGAAAAAACATTTAAAGCTGGGTCTATGTCCAAATCGCCAAATCTTTATGAATCGATTCGGAGAGATTAAAGGGTCCTCTGATTCAATTCAGATTTGGAGATTCAGCCAGCGAATTGGGCTGGATCTCCGTTGAATCAAGTCAGGGACCAAAACTTCACATAGCCCAAATATTCAAAGCACTGCTCTGTGGAGTTGAAAATCCAACATGCAACCTATCAAAAGCAGGGAGCAGGCTTTGAAAGCTCTTTGCTTCAACTACCCACCCCAAATCTTAATTTATTCACTGATTTTGTGCAGTCTGGGAAACCTTTGTATATATAGATTTGTTCTGTTTCACAAGTAATGTGTAATGAAAAACCTTTCTTGTATCCACAGCTATCTTCTCCACTGCATGTGACATCATTTTAAATTACATGACATGAATTTAAGACAATTAGGGCCAAATGGTAGATGGGTTCTGCTAATTTGATCCATATTCTTAGTGTATTGCTGAATATCTAGCAATCAAAATGTTTTCAAGGTAATTATTTAAATGAGTAACTGGTCACAAATAATTTTATTTACCTAATGTATAACATCTGTGTGAGCGAGTGAAACTAGAAGTATAATGCATAATTACAGTTGGGTATGTCTAAGCCAAATGGTATAGCATCTGTAAATAAGAAAATGAAGAACTGGTTAATTGAAAGGAAGGCCTGAGGCTAAATTTAGTAGTTCTGTACATGCTGGTCAGAACATTAGCATAAACAAAGGATAACTTACTTTAGATACCTTACATCTGTCTCAGAAAAAGCAACTAACAGGGGGTTTTTGTAGTGTTTGTGAGATAACTTAATTACTTTTCCTGTTACATACATGCCTTTTAATCTACTTACAACTGATGTGTAAATACTATACCATTTTTTACTCCTGACTTCATCTCTCTGTGGTAGCAGCACCTACATTTACCCTGTCTGAGTTTTTGCCTTTGTTCTTAAAACAGTTTCTTATACAGGGGAACAAACAGACTTCCTTTTAGAAACCATTCTATTTAAGGTATGAAGAACCTTAACAATTTAAAAAAAACCCAAACTGGTGGCAGAAGTACGCTACAGTTCGTCAGCTTTATTTTCTTTGGCTAAAAGTGGACCTATGTTTATACCATTTATGAGCTGAAGGTGGCAGATTTTGTTTGCACATGCATGCTGATTTGTAGCCTGTTAAGGTTACATCCTCTGTACTTCTCTGTTCCGGCATATGGTGGCAATATAGATCACAAGTGGATTTTGAGAAACTTAACATCAACCACATGAAATGGTTTCTTCCTTAATGTGG